AGCAGATTCATTAAAAAACTGAAGAGCATGTTAAGGACTTTTTCGAAATTTTTATAGGTTTTTTTTTATGAAATCCAAGACTTTTCATTACCCAAGATTTTTTCTTTATTAAAAGTGCATAACAAACCGTTGTGCATACGGCAAAAAAATTCATGCAAGGATGAGACCAAGTCCGATAGGATAGAATACAAAAGTCTGTGTTGTTATACTTCAGAAAGCGAACATTACACATCTGTGAGAATTTTTAGGATGATTTCAAAAGCATTTGTTCACATTTCAATTTAGATTTAAGTTTCAACATACTCTGTGAAATTGCGACATAGAAACACTTGCGAAAGTTTGTTTTGTTTTTTCAAACTCAAAATTCCTTGACAATCGACAATTTTCAGAAGGAAAAAATTGCTGATTTCACCAGTTTTGGAATTTGAAACACAAAAGTCCCTCTGATGTCTACGGACAGTTAAATCTTTATAATAAAATCACATACGTCTATAGATGTCTGTCGATTCCAAACTTATTAAATAAGAAAGGCTAGAAGCCAAATAAATTGGGGGGGGGGGGATGTTCAGTTAGTTCCACCATGCAGATGGGTGTTCTTGTGGATGAATCAGAAACATTGTTCCTTACACTGTTAAAAATCAATGACTTACTCTGAGTGAATAGCCGGCGTGAAAAAAAAATCCAACACGAATTTTGCGCCGTACTCTGAGTGAATAGATCAGAGCGTAAATATCACCCACGACGCACGAATTAGTTGAGGTACCTCAAGTAGCGTGAATTCAGGGCATCTTGGTAACAGCGCCGAATGGCAGTATACTCGTGCGCAGTATACTGGCGCGTATTCAGAATGTATGGTTAGTTGATAGATGGGATGCTTTTTTCTATGATTTTTGAAGCATTTTATGATTTTTATACTTCGTCTTCTATTACCAAGGCCCAAAATTGTCCTTCCACCCATAAACTGCCCCCCGTCCCCCTCTAGATCTCCCCCTCTCTCCCCAGTCCCATTAGATCTAGGAGCCTCCCATTATAAACACACTTTTATATATTTTTTAAGATTTTGGGGAAGTTACATTGAGGGAACATTAATCCTATACGTATACTTGAATTACAGCGCCGCGACTCGAGTTCAAATCGAGTCGACTGTTCAGCAGAGATTCCTTCCTTGAGCTCGGAAGGCAGGGATGACAAAAATCCTGCCGAATTTCCATCGCAAACTGTCTGGTGCGCAATCGGGAGCATCGATGTTTCCTTTCTGCAGACTCACTGCACTCCCCACGCGCCGCAGGATTTTTGTCAACCCTCGCCTTTCGGGCCAAGCAGGAATCTTTTAAATTCAAACCAAATTAAACGCTCTTTTTTTT